CACACCCACACACACACACACAGTCTCACACACACATGCACACACATGAAAAGGATCCTTACTAAGAAGTTTGAGCTAAATTCAATATGTCTGTCAAACTCCCTGACACACACACACACACACACACACACACACACACACACACACACACACACACCCAGAGCCTGAGCACTGAGTGATGGAGGTCTCAGGGAATTTTTACCCTGAGTTGGTATTAGGAAAATATATCTTTATAGTCACAAGTTAGGCTTTCAAATTACTTTTTGTTTGGAATTTTCTGCCTCCTTTTATTGATATGATACAGTATACATGTCCTCTATATTTTATAAGCAACTCTTTATAACTATAGTTCTTACTTTGGGAACCTCCCAAAACACCAATGTATGGCACAAACTTTCTCATATATACTGTTTGTGTAAACCTGACAAGGTATATCATTTAAAAATATATATTTGTTAAACACAGAGTGTACTACATTAGCCTTATAGGGAAATCCCAATTCTGAGTAAAAACAACAGACTCTATGGGTTATTTTCCACACACTGGGGTAGATTTAGACCTGAATTTCTGCAAATATCCTAAGAGATGCAGTGGAAGAGAATCTACAGGCCACACATGAAGAAACATGAACACATAGGATAAACTCCAAGCCACCATAATGTGGCACCATAATCTGATTTCCTGCCACAGATGTTACCTTTGGCTGTATCAGCCGAACTTGGATCTTTGTCAAACAGCCACGATGTTTCTTGCCTCTGAGCCTTTGCTCATGCTCTTCCATCTGCCTTGATCCCTCCCTACTCATTTCTACCTGGCTAGAACCTGCTCACCTGTTAAGACTCAGCTAGGTCTGTTCACTAGTTTTACCTCCTCCCAGAAGCACTCCCTCACTATCTAACTCACTATCCTCCCAGGTTGGATTAGGTAACCCCTTTCTTCAGGGCGTCTATAGCATCTTGATGTACACATATTATAGTACCTGTTGTGTGGAAATGAATCTATCCACTCAGCAGTTCATTCCCCCCACTAGAGTGTAAACTCCTTAAGAATAGGAACTGTCTTAATTTCTATATTCCCAGCACTTTAGTGGCATGTAAGAGACACTAATGACATGTTTATCGAACGCAAGTTATTTTATAATACTTAACTCATTCATCTTTGCATCCCCTACAATGCCTAGTATACAGCCTTATACAAAGAACATAAGAAATATCATGGAATTAAAATGATGGAGTTAAAAATACAGTTGTCTGTTTTCTTCCTTTATAATTTTTTCTCCTGGCTGTATCAGTATGTTTTATTTGAAAACGGATCTCCCTGGCTCTGAGTAATTAAAGGGAAACAAAACAAAACACATGCTGCTCTTTATGTAGGTTTCTAAACAAATCAAACTGTGTATGGGTACCATCTGCTATCACCAGCCTTCTTCACAGCTTTGTGGGTGGTAGCTTACACTAAGACCAAGCCTGATTCGTCTCACTGTTCACATGGAAAAAGGCAGAGATTCTCATTAGTTACAAAGTCCACAATTCTACATAACTTTGTAAGTTACTTCACAGAAAAATGAAAACCATCCTTCACCACATGATGTCCCCCTACTCCTGAAGCAATACTGTCTGCCCCCTCTCTTTGGAGAAGTGAAAAAGGAAAAGGATAGTCAGAAGAACTGTCAATTAGGAACTAAAGTTTTCCTGTGTAAGTAAATCCACTAAAGAAAGGGAAAACCTTATCAAAAACTTGAAAACGTTTCTATTTTTAATCATACTCAAGTGCTTTTTAAAAAGTGCAGACAGGATACCAATATTGTTATGAGAGCTTGCATCCTGAAAAATAATAAAGTAAATCTATTGTTACAAAAAACTGAGTTTTCATATTGCTAGAGAAAAATTTTATTCCAAATCTTAAGCCCTGAATTTTACATTAGTTTTAAAAGAACCTCTGGATAGCTTAAAAAAATCAAGTCTAACTTTATAACTCAAATATTATAAGATCCAAGAAGAGGGGGGCTGGCCAAGTGGCTCAGTTGGTTAAGAGCTCACTCAAGAGTGTGAGCTCTGAGCAACAGGGTCCCCGGTTTGATTCACCGCCTGAGCTGAGCTGCCGCTGAGCTGCCAACAGGTGGCAGGATGGCTCAGCTAAAAAAAAAAAAAAAAAAAAAATCCAAGAAGAAATAATTTGCCATTCTCTCATTATTTTTAAAGCATTCATAAGACACTGTAAGAGGGCAAGAAGAGATAAAGGTATGTATCAGTAGCCACAGCACAAGACAAATATAAATGTTTTAAGAGTAACACAAATCACCATAGTAATTCAGATGAGGGATAATCAGATGAGGACAAATGAATAATCAGATAAGGTTCTAGAAACAAGTGGCTAAGGAACAGAAAAGCAATAAACATGAAGTCTGCCAGCCTGCCAGCTGGTAGACTCAGTTTCCACATCTGAAATTGGGAGAAATAATAACTATACCTATTTAACACATTTATCAAGCACTTACTGTGCCAGGTATAATTTATGATGGACACACAATAATTAATCAAAATTCCTCCTCTCATAGAGCTTGCATTCTAGAAGAAGAGACAGATGATAAACGCATACATACATATACACATACTCATGTAATATCTGGTAGTGATAAGGGCTATGAAGAAAAAGAAAGGGTAAGGGGCCAGAGCAATGGGGGAGGGGCATAATGATTTATGATAAAATGGTTATGGGAAGGCTTCTAAATAAGGGAATGATCCATGTTATGATCTGGAGGAAAGAAGTGCAGACTGGAGAAACAATGAAGACAATGGCCCCGAGGCAGAAATCCACTTAGTATATTCAAAGGTCACTTAGGCGGTCAGTGTGGCTTCTGACGAGTGACTGAGGCACAGTGGTAGGTCTTACGGTGGTAGAAATAGGCAGGGGAGCTTAGGTGGACCTTGTAGTTTGGATTTTATACTAAATGACACAGGAAGCCTTTGGAAGGTTTAAGAGAGTGTGTGTGTGTGTGTGTGATGACCTAAATTGTGTAAGGATTACTCTCGCTACTGTGGTATTGCTACTGAGTGTAGGAATACCAATCTAGGAGGTCATTGGAATGGTGTAAGTGAGAGATAATAGCTTGGGCTAGTGTAGAAGTAATATGTTTTTGAGAAGTGGTTCAAGTTAACTCTATTTTGAAGACAGAATTGGCAGGACTTGTTGGTGGATTGGATGTAGGTGTGGAGAAAGAGGAGGCTCGAGATGACTCTTGGATTTTGGCATGAACAACTCAATGTTTTTTACTGAGAGGGAGAAAAAGAGAAGCAGGTTCACAGAGGTCAGGTAAGGAAGAGCTCCCTTTAGGACCTACAGATTTTAACATACCAAGTAGCAACATCAAGCAGGCAGCAGGGTGTAAGAGTCTGGAGCTCAAAGAAGAGGTGACAGCAAGAAACAGAAATGTGGAGTTGGTCAACAGATGGATGGTACATAAAGCCATGGGAATGAATGAGAGCATCTCAGAGTTGGGTGCAGATGGAGAAGAGACCCAAGGACTGAGAGTTGGGTACTCCAAAATGTAAAAGTAAGGGAAATTAGGAAGAAAATCATGACCGTGGTGCTCCGGAAGCAAATGAATATTGTTTCAATGAGGGAGTAATCAACTATGTCAAATATTGCTGAGATACAAATTACCATGAGGAACAGTGCCAGACTAGAGCTGGCAATGTGGATTACTGGTGACCTTGTTAAGAATGGTTTCAGAGGCAGAGTAGAGGTGGAAGTCTAACTGGAGTAGTTGCAGGAGAGAACGTCAAATGAGGAATACAGACACTGAATATAGACAGCTATTTTAAGATGCTTCACTGTAAAGAGGAACAATGATGATATAGGGCTGGAGGTAGCTGTGAGATCTACAGGTTTTTAAAATATATATATTGGAGATTCTATGGCATTTTTGCATGCTAATGTGAATAATCCAATAAATAGAGTAAATCTGATTTTTGCAAGAGGAAGATAGACAGGGTAATTACAGGAAAAAAGTCCCTAAGTAGAAGAGAAGGCGTGGGATCCAGTATACAGTGAAGTGATCAGCTTTAGACAGAAGAGGTAGTAATCCATCGTAATGAGGGGGAAAGCAGAGTAGATGAACATAGAGGCAGAAAAGTCAATAAATGTAGTGGTAGGATGAGGAAGAGTTATCTCTTGATTCTGTTTTCTGAGTAAAATAGGGGACAGAGTCATGAACTGAGGATGGGAAGGTTGGAAGAGGTACTGGAAAGCTGAGGTGAAAAGATCACCTGTTTAGAAAATCACCTCTGAAAGTGGGAGAGGGAACTGACCTCTCAGAAAGTGGAAGAGGAAAATGGCATTACACTTGATATTTGTAAGTAATTTTAAAGTAGTACCAATCTACCTGACAGTGCATTTTTGTCCACCTATAACTCACTGGTCATGAGTAGCCCTGCAGTAGGGGTTGGGTTTTGCCCACACACTACATTGGCAGGCAAATTAAGAATACAGACAATGGATAATTGTGTATCATGGAACCGAAACTGAGGAAGAAGGGAATAAAGAACACAGGGGAAGGGGTAGATCTATATAATTAAAATATTATGAGAGTACACAACCACATATGTATATGATAGCAACTTATAAACTATGCACTATTAAACAAAGATGAGGTACCATTAATATCATGGCTTTGCAGGATACAAATAGGCCAAAAAAAACCCAAAAAACAAAACCAAAAAAAACTTTCTTTGCAAGGTAAG